TGTGTGTGTGTGTGTGTGTGTGTGTGTGTGTGTGTGTGTGGTATCCCGGTTGCTGTCCATCAATGTAAGAGCGCGCAATGAAAGTGATAGGCCAGCCTTGATTGAATAGAAATTAACTGTGAGACAGAAAAGCTTTTGGAGAGTGTATACCAAGGTCATCGGTGTTTGATTGATTCGGGTCACGCGCACCGAGAGTTTGACAACTATCGACAGAGAGTAAGTGCGCAAGTGCAATGTGGAATACTTTCAGACTTCAGTCGTTAACCCTCAAACAGCATGTATAATGCATTACTTCAAACTGAACAGCAACTGAAAGATGAGGAAAGGTTAGAAAATGTTGAGTAAACATCATCTCCGGCTGACAAAAGAAAAAAACAATAGATCTGGCAACTGAAACAACGGGACGACAGATTAACGTAACAGCAACGGGAACAGTTTTACACATACAGTTCACTAAAATGTTCACATTTATTGCCAGTGAAGTGATAAGAGTCAAATGACAGTTCCGAAATCGGGAGGTTGTATATGATATCATAAGGCTAAGTTAGTTCAAATACTGCTTATTGGGGGATAGTTGAGTGACGTTTACCCACGTCGTATTAGCGAAAAGAGCAGGTTCCTGATCTCTTCAAATGATTGAATTCGACTAGATTATTTCCCCAAAAACATGGGTTGAAAAATCATTTCGGGTGGTTTGAGGGAAAACCTCCCAGTGCAGAGAGCTCAAACGCGAATCGATGGATTCCATATACCTCTGTAAGTTCGATGGGCGAGCAAATGAGAAAAGATCTGATGGGCCCTGTCGCTCAGCTGGTAGAGCATGTCATATAAGGGCGTAAGCGGCATCTACGATTAGGTCCGGATCCCAGTGAACCACATGATCTTTCTTACAATTAAAACCAAAGGTAAGCTTATTTTCGACTACATACCAACAAGCGGGTGAAAAAAATCTACGAGAAAAGAAAACTCACATGTAAATCTTCGCGAACAATTAAATCCAATAGTTCTTCATGATTCAGACAGAGAAACTCTTCGTGGTCTGTGACTGTTTCGAAATTATGGGCCGCATAATTCCGTGCGAATGTTTCCAACTCCGAACAACTATGCAATTCAGCAAACCGTCTAATACCCAACACATTGGATGCATCCACCTCGGCCAGAAGGAAATTGGAACACGCAGTCTTTACACCCTCCATTTGGACAAGGCTCGCGGCGGGTAACAAGTCTTGCACGTTCTCCATGGTTACATGTACTTGTCCTGTGTACACGTAGTCCAGTAATGCATCCATCACGGTTGGTGAAATGGATTTGAGTTCGACCTCCAATTGCGCTGATTCAGCCATCTGTTTTGAGAACGATGGCCAGTCAAATTGGGAACAATACAAGAGAGAAAAGTCAACCCGACCACTAAGGTGTATTGCTCGTAATAGACACCTCGAATAAATCTACCAATGCACAACTCGCCCCCATTGGGATTTACAACTTCTAGTTTCAGGGTTGGTGTTGTCTATTATTCTTGGAGAGCTATAGGTCCTTGACGCTATGGGGTTCACTTTGAGCAACAATCCATGACATTGTTTGTGATAGAAGAAAAGCCGATCACGACAGCAAAAGAAAAACTGTTGGTGTGAGGTGCGATCAGTGTTGGGTACGGAGACCTTCAACAGACTGCACGTATACACCCATCTCTGGGGGTTATTACTGGATAAACTCTTCTTGAGAAGTTCATGTATGAATCAATACGATGATCTCGGAAGAGTAAAGCTGTACTCTATAGAGAGCATCCTCAGGTCACAGGTACGGGAATCGCCATCAATCCAGGACCGGCCGTGAGTAAGATAGACCTCCGTCCACTGAATAAGTGGTCGAGAACGATCAGCTCAAATACTCGACTTGACTTGACTTGATGCGGTGGATTTGCCGCATAGCAAAGGTTATATGCACGAAACAGCACTTATCTGTGGGCAGCGCTGTGACATGTTTCAACTACTACGATTACTCCTACTACGTATAGTAATTGCGCGTTCTGCGTTCCGTTTATCTGACAAAACGATCTAGGAGACGAAAGAAGCAACTAGCTGACCAACGGAATAACTAGAACACTGATACTTTACTGGCAGCGCCTGGTTGCGCAACGGATAGGGTGCACCCTTGATCAAGGCCTACTCTGAACCGAGCGACCCAATAGTTCAACAGTCCACAACGAAGAACACCACGGACTTAAACATTTATGAAACATTCTACGCCGTTATGGACAGATGTTGCACGAACGAAACACCATACAAAACGTCTTATGCCTTAAATCATATCCCATTTTCACACTTAACGGGAGATTTCGTAAGTCTAACACGATAGTGCGCTAACGAAGGTCCTGGCCAAATCCGCTTGCCTCCTCCATTCAGTATCCCGCTCTCACAGAGTTTGCCTTCATTGACAAAAACTACTCTTCGTCCTTGATGCATGTCTAGATGAGCCCAATATAACATGCGAAAGCCGATGTGCATCTCAAAAAGGCATGTTGAGCGCCAAAGCCAGGGGCCACAACCATCAATGTGAGCTGCATTCACGGAATGCGCGGCCTTCGAAAGCATCAGTATGGTCGAGGGTGGGTACCTTGGGTTATGACTGATCACCCTGCTTTGCAGCTCTCGAATAGCCCCTGATAATGAATCCCAAGTTACCGTCTTCTTAGGAAGAAAGTGCTTTCCCACCAAAGAAAGAGAAAAATAAGCCAGCATTCGGGGCTATAACGCGATCGGCCATAATAATGGGAAGTTGGTAGAAACCCTGATTCCAAAGCACCCAAGAAGAGACGTACGGACTACCCACATACACACCTTCTTGGTTGTGGCAGTGGCCACCGGCTCGACGGGGGGTCGAGGTGTACGGGGCGTTTGACCCCGTCCAAAAGGCGTACGATTCGATGAACTGGACACTGTCCCAAACGGATAGCAGTTTTCAGACGCCGCCTCACTACCTTACGAGCTAGGCTTTGACTATCCGAAGACTCCGATCGTGAATTCACCGAGGAAATTCACCTACTTTGGCCTGGTCCAGCAGTATCGAGCCAAAGAGTAGCTCACGGAACTTCCTCTTTTCAATAATACTATTGTACCGTGGTTTGTTTGGCACACAGTCTGGACTTAGACAAGTGCGAAACGTAACATAACGAGAAGTTCATCCAAAACTTTAGTTTCCTCATACGACTGAAGGCGTTGGTGTAGTAGAGTGAAAGAGATGAAGTCACGCTGCTGAAGCGGATCCAGCGGACAGTCAGCTGTGCGCAGTGATAGTTGTACGTTCATGCAAAGTAAGCTCTAGGTGTGGGCGAAAAGATCTGTCAAATTGACAGCGTGTTTATCCAACATCAACAGATACGTATTGTACAGTGGGCGGATTACTTCAAAGCACGGTTCAGCTGGCCAGCAGCGTCAGCTTCCCTCACAGCTATTCCAACACATGTCCCGTGGTCCGTTTTGGCATACCCTCACTAGGAAACGGAAATATGCAAGGATATCCGAGACCTAAGACATTAACAAGCACCGGGATCCAACAATGTCTCTCAACAGTATTTGAGGATGAAATTTAGCATGCTATACAACTGCAAGTTATGCTATTGACGGTCACGTAATCCAGAGGCCCAGTGACACTGGTCACCTGGCTTTTTGTTGGTCGTGATTTCTCTTGTTTTTCTGTGAGTATTAAATTCCCATCACCATTGCCAAACAACAAGGGGATCTCGGTTCGTAAAAAGAGACCTCAATCGCAGCGGCAGTCGGTGAGACGGCTACGCCCACCTCCCCTCCGTTTACAGTAAAAACATAACTTCGAAACGCTTTCGGAAAAGGAAAATGAAAACACTGTTGTGAAAAAGACTCAGATGAACGAGTCGTTACCCACAATGCAGGAGTTTATGCTTCTGACTGCGTCCTCCAGTCGTGCATAGAATCTGGTAGTTCATCTTGAATAAACAGATGGTCCGGATGATCAGTGGCAGTGCTCGCGGACACTTTGCTTTGGCTGGATTGGTCCTGTCCATGCAAAACACCACACAGGTCTGTAGACTATACTGCGACGTAGCGATTGCGGCCCCGCCACCAAATAAAACCACTGCTCCGTTCGTATTCAGTCTACCCAACATGGTTTCCCGGAAGAGGGGAATGAACCACGCTACCATCACGTCTGGACCAATCCTGCTGGAACGCAGGCTAAACTTCGATGAGTAAATACTAGAGATGCAAATTGGAACGAACAGGCCCAAAGATGTGTCGTTAGTCTACCCCCAGGCAGAATGAGACTGAGTGGTAAAACGCTCCTGAAACGTTCCTTTCCGTATTCCCGCGAAAATCTATGGATAATAATCATGAAGCCGACTTATCCTGCAGCAAGAAGTAGTCCAGAAAAAAGCTAAATTAGACCGACCAATGAATGAAAAGTCGAATGATCGTTTCTGGAGAACTTGATGGAAGATCCATGAACAAAGGCAAAAGGCATGAAATGAGAAGCAAGTGCGAGTACAACAGAAATGAAAGAAACAGAGTTTCAACGTTTGAAAATCTAATCCGACAAACTGAAGTGACATTGCGTATCGAAACCACTACGAAAATTAATATTAACCTAAAATTGAATACTTCACAAATAGTCCGGATACAATGTTTAAATGATAAGGATGAGAATGCCCAAGAGCAGACAAAAACCAGGTGTCGGCAGCTGTCACAACAAAATTTTAAAATTATTTAACATAGACAGGATAAAAGTGGTGGAATAACTCACCCCGTTTGAGAACATGGCATCGAAATAATCACTCGTGGCTGCCAAAACCACACGGTGTGCTAAGAACTCTTGACCTCCGACTTTGATCACAACATCGCAAAGTTGTCCCCGTTTACGAAACACGTTCATCTTGGAGAACGCAAGTGAGGAGTATGCGCTGTTTCCTATAAAAAAACGACGATTCCTTCACTCATGGTATAATAAGCATTTGTATTTCACACACGTCTGAATCCAGACTGTGTACCAAACAAATCATAGTACAATAATCTTCATAAAAAAGAGAAAGTTCCATGATTTGTTTGTGGGCGGCACAATGAATAAACTAACAGTGAGCAGTTTGCTAGCGGTACCTGAACCAACTCGGGGGATTATTGACGTTAAGTTAGAAGTTGGTAATGGTACACGTAAAGACCGGCTCGTTCACCACAAATAGAATGCATACGAGGTGATCTAACAGAACAGTGCAATATACTCGTGGAAGACTCGTTTATGATTTGAGTAGCTTTTTAAGTCTTGATGCTAACCACTTACTGATAGAAGTGATTCTGTACGGTATAGTTTTCTATTAGCACTATTCATTGTATCTATGAGAAACATTGTGATTCTGTGAATGGTGTGAGTGGACTTTTGACCTGAACTCACCCACCTGACAAATAGCTGACGGAATCCGGTTATATATTACTACCGGTTAAAACTTAGGCAATTATACTTCGAATGCATCACACAGTGGTGAATTTCATGGGAGATACGGTGAAGAATGTTTAGCACTGGAACCCTGGGATTTGGGATCGCGAGCAACATAAAGCAGTTGCACATACTGTATATGGTACTGAGTAGAGCGGTGATCGAACTGATTCATGTTAGCTCACTGATTCGTTTCTTTTGGATGTCAGAAGCAACTGTGCCTTGTGAGAAACTAAGATGGATTCAGAGCTAAAATGAAACGAGGA